TAAACCCTCTAAAATACCACAGCTCATTGTGAAGTATACACGAGAGGGAGGAAGTCACTGCTAGTCGAGAACTATCACTACAACGAGGGAAAAAAGAGAGGGACACCCAAAAAAGCAAGGAAAAAAGTATGGTTTATTGCTGGAGAAATATAAGCGAAAAAAACTTTGGATACATAAAAGTGCAGAAATCTTAACAATTCAAACGAATGGGCTAATTGTCAGATACGAAAAAAATTATCTATTGATGTGATGAAAGAATTGTTGGCTTACGGTGTAATCTGCTTATCGCAAAGAAGGGAAGCCGTTAAGAATGGAAAATGAAAGTTATTTGCAGTGATGCAATCGAAGAGCTCCTTGATATCTTTTTATAAACACTAGCGAGATTTCACGTCAACGATGGTCTAAGCAAGAAAAAAAAGAAGGGAAAATTAACGAGTTGTACGGTTTTGCGTCTGCTCATTGCACTTTTTTGCCACCTTTTTTTAGCCAAAGAATTGAGCATACCTAATTTTGATGAAATTAAAACTAATTTATGAAAAAAAAATACACGTTGTTCAAAATCAGACTTTAAATGAGAAACGTTGAGAGTATGAAAATGCCAATGCTTTGAAGTAATTGATTTATGTAGAACATAGATTTATTAAGTAATTTAACCAAACTTTATATAAAGTTTCAGAAGCTTTCTTTACGGAAAATTACTAAAATCAGGTGTTCAGTTTCCAGAAGAATTTCTTTCATTGTTTTATCAACAAAAGTGAATGTTACACTAATTCAAGAAAGGTAAAGCCAAGGTATTTTGATAAACAGAGTCATATTCGTAGGTTCATGCGTGAAATTTGAAAACTAAGAATTTTGAGAAGAACAATGCTGAAAAATTAAGAAATGCACGCAAGTTCCTGGAAGAAGTTGGTCGCGACTTCAGAAGAAAAGTCAAAGTTTTAAGAAATGCCCTTTTCTCATAGTTGAAAGACTGTCACGAACACTACGTTTACTAAACAAACGACAATAAACAGAGCGAAAGGAATTGCGAGTGGACAAGAATTCCCTAGAAGAAATGTTCGCGAGCGTTGAACAAAGGCTACCGAATGGGTTAAACGGGGGGCTGGTCGTTGGACGGGGGCGGACTGTGAACCCCGTCGAATTGAGGTCTGAGTGATTAAGTGAAGATGTGATAGGGAAAAGGTGTTCTCACTGTGCGGAGCTCGCTCTCTCACAGCACCTGCTGGGAGGATCAATAGCGCTGGGAGGAATAACGAGCCCAGGAAATGTTCAGTACGGGCGGGTAGTACGGGTAGTACGGGTAGTACAGCAGCAATAGCCGCTATAGTCCAGACGAGTGCAACCGGGGGGACTAGCAGACCAGCAACCCGTCCGTCCGTCCCCGATCGATGGCTCTGGCTGGCCCACACCATGCCAGGCCTCGGCCGACAACGGCCAAGCACCAATTTGAGGTCGACGCGAGGTGTATGCCGGCTGCCTACCTCTCTCACCCGTTCCTCGCTCTGAGGTCAAACTTATTTTCAACTAATTTAAGTCATTCATATAATTTTCAAAGTGAATTACACTCACTTCCTGAAGTCCGGGCAGAAAAACCAGCAATTTGAAGGAAATTCAATTTTCCGTTGTGTCGAACAATAATTGGTTCTGACCCAACTTTTCAATAAAGTCCAAATTTGATTTCGTTTTTTCTAAGTTTCACAATTTATTTTTCTCCTCAAACCAATGTTTGCCAGGAATTTCAAGATCAACT